CAGCTCGTGCAAACATAAACATCATGCTTTTTCAGCCTAGGCCTATAATTATAAACCAAATAAACTATGAAAAAATTCAAGTAAAAAGTGCTGTAATTCACAATTACCAGAAAATGTTCGTTTTTGTTGCTGAAATGTGTTTCTTAGTTAAAACAAAAATTACAATTTCCGATGTTTCCAATAGGATGCTTCCAATAGGATACATTCTGTTTTTCAGTATTTCGGGAATAGGGTTTCCAGATTAAGCCTGGTTGGGATTGTTGTCGTTCCCTTGGGACCGTTTTAGGGACAATGGGAGCGTTGTCAAAACAATGGGACCGTTGTCGCAATTCGTTGGGACCGGCGGTCCGATGATGGGACCGACGGTCCCGCTTTGGGACCGTTCGTGTCGGAAAGAGCCGACTGAACTATCTCTTAATTTAAAATGATTTGGTTCTTCATTTTTAGATAATTTTGAAAATGCAATCATAAATAACTTCTTGTTCGAACTTTCAACAAGTTCTCAACCGGTGTCCTAAAACACTTCCCTTGTAAGAAGGAGACATTTTCAAATATGTGATTCGTTTTTGCAGAAGAGCTACCAGTTTCGAAAAAACCAGGCTCGAAATCTGAGAAATTGAAAAAGCATATCAAGAAAACCTCAACACTTCACGACCGCAACCTTAGATGAAAATTTCAGGATAGGTTGGAATCGACTAGACATCACTAGAAATTTTAGAATCCACCCGCTAGTTTCAGCCGAGTTATATCAGTTTCTGTACCAAAATTCGCCTTTTCTGTGCAAAAGCAGTGTTTCCAAAGACGATTTTCACAAGTACTAGGACGTTTCAAGGCATGAAACTTGTTGTGTTATACTCAAATTTTAGAGAAATTTGATATTAAAAAATTTTTCTCAAGAAAAAAAATATTGTTCATTTTTTTGAATTTTTCACGATTTTCCAGATTTCTTCGAGAATTGAAAAACAATTTTTTGGAGAAAAAATTTGAAATATCAAATTTCATTAAAATTTGAGTAAAACACAACAAATTTCAGGATTGGAAACGTCCTAGGACTCGAGAAAGTCGTCTTTGAAAATGCTGCTTTTGCACTGAAAAGGTGATTTTTGGTACTGAAACTGACGGGCGGATTCGAAAACTTTCAGAGGTGACTAGATAGGCTATCCCTGGCATATCTTAAAAAATTCATCCAACTCTGGGTTTGTGAGGTGTTGAGGTTTCCTTGTAAGGTGATCCCATGATGATTTTTTGTATTTAATTTTTTTTTTGAAAAAAAAAACTAGAAAACTTTATGGGACCATACTATTCCGTTCCAAACTCGTGTAATTTTCTTTGAAAAACAACTTTTGAACTATTATTTCGAACTACTCTTTAATTTTTGAGTGAAAGAATTTTGATGGGTTGTGAAAGATTTTAGAATTTTTTCGGTTGTAATTACAATTTCAAATGTTCCTTTTTGATCTGAATTAGTTTTCTCGTTTTTCCAGAAAAAAAGTTAAAAACCAAAAATGACATTAAAAATTATTACGGGAAGAGGAATCAAACCTACAACCGGTTACATACAGTTCATCCCTTCTCGAAACTACACCACTCCATGCCACTCCTCTCTCTTTCCACAATTTATAATATGTAAGGAAACTGGGAGACGCGGCACTTGAAAGACCCAAATTTGAGATCAATTTGAAGCCTGACTTTTTTTTTCGAAAATGGTAGTTTTTAAGCAAAAACAGAATACTTATTTGAAAATGTCCCATTCTCAGCTTTCAAATGAAATAGGACTCATATAAAAGTTCCAGAACACAATTACAACCTTCCCTAGTGATTTGTTCAGTAGATTGCCTTGAAAGCAATTGGGCTGTCTGGTTCCCATTAGTTTTCTAAAACAAACACTGACAATTTTTTACCTCCAAAGGTGTGCCTATAAGTTCAACTCCTCAAAAGACAGAATTTCGACAAAATCTTTTTTTTTTCAGTCACTCACGACGGCGTCTCCGTTAGTTATGACTAGGAGAGAAAGATTTCGTATGGATTTCATAAATGGAATGTTCCCGGCTAACTCGTGGACGCTTGGGCTGGTCGTTGGAGCGGTGGCGGTCTTCTCTGTGATCAAAAATGATCTCACCTTTTGAAGTTTCCCTTTTTCTTCAAAACTACATCTTGCATTATAACTCCTTTGTTAAGCTGTAAACTTGTTTTCTATTTCCCAATGTTTTCTTTAAAATTGAATTTTAATGAATACTATGACTGACAATATGCTTTCTGTGAATATATAGTGAGGCAGGATAGTAGCGCCTCTTTCTTATATCTTCAAAAAGCCACTTGTCCGCAAACACTTCTTGTGACGACATCGACATAGCCTCTGCTACATGCCAAGGAGACGTTGTCAATCTATATGTGCGCCAATACATAGTCTCCAATAACGTCTCCAGTTTCCCAGGAGCATATCATGTCATCCACATTAGATACCTCTTGTATTATTGATTTTTTTCTAATTGGAAGGTCACTTGTCCCGCCTTGATCATTTCTTTATGTTGGTCACGTCTCAGTCGTTTTCCTTTCTCTCATATTTTCATACCCATTTGTCTGTCTCTCAATTCTCTGCAATCTACATGGTACGTGCTCATTGAGAAGGGCGGAAAAAAGAAGAGAACGATTGAAATGCTCATTTCTGTCACTAGTGATCTGTTTTAGTTTGGAGTCCAAGTTTTAACATTCCGGTGTTGTTAGATTTTTTATTTGTTCTTGAAAAAGGTGGAATCTCATGCTAATCGTCCTCAAACAATAACAGCAACATGTTTTTTACCAATCCGTCGTTAAAATTGATGGATGGAACACTCAGGAATTGAAACGTTACCAGTAGTCTATTTGATCATCAATTTACTTAATAAAATCACTTTTGAAATGACTTCTATTGTTTTCATGGGCATTCCGCAACAGGTGCGAATATACATAGCCTCCAACAACGTCTCCAGTTTCCCAATAGAATAACATGTCATCCACATAAGATTCCTCTTGTATTATTGATTTTTGTCATACTTGTAACGGTGTCAGAATACGAATCAGATGACAATTTTTACTGAACTATCATCAACATTTTTAATTGAAGACAACAGTTTCAATAACTGTCACATTCTTATCACTTCACACATACCCTTTAATATTTTCCCCTCTCATTATGTTCAATAATCTTTTTTGTCCCTAATGTCGCCTAATTACAGTAATAACAGATTATCCTCGTTAAAAGCTATATAATTTTATCAGAATACCACTTTATCTTGGTGAATAAGCTTTCATTCTGACAAAAACTATTTGAAGCATTACAAAAACTATTTGAAGCATTATATATTATTGATTTTCCACCGAAATTGACCATGTCTTGTTGTGAGAGATTTCCATTCTGTTTAGCATTTTCGAGATCGCTGGATCCATCTATGTTCAGGTGACTGTCTCCAAAACACCTCTCTTCGGCGATAAGGTTTTTCTGAAATCAAAATTTGTTTTTCGCCAGCGTTCATTGGATAATTCCAACCTCAAT